CACGTGTACGCACGCAGGTCACGTGTACGCACGCAGGTCACGCGTACGCACGCAGGTCACGTGTACGCACGCAGGTCACGCGCACGCACGCAGGTCACGTGTACGCACGCAGGTCACGCGTACGCACGCAGGTCACGCGCACGCACGCAGGTCACGCGTACGCACGCAGGTCACGCGTACGCACGCAGGTCACGTGTACGCACGCAGGTCACGCGTACGCACGCAGGTCACGCGCACGCACGCAGGTCACGTGTACGCACGCAGGTCACGCGTACGCACGCAGGTCACGTGTACGCACGCAGGTCACGCGTACGCACGCAGGTCACGTGTACGCACGCAGGTCACGCGTACGCACGCAGGTCACGTGTACGCACGCAGGTCACGTGTACGCACGCAGGTCACGCGCACGCACGCAGGTCACGCGCACGCACGCAGGTCACGTGTACGCACGCAGGTCACGTGTACACACGCAGGTCACGCGTACGCACGCAGGTCACGCGTACGCACGCAGGTCACGCGCACGCACGCAGGTCACGCGTACGCACGCAGGTCACGTGTACGCACGCAGGTCACGCGTACGCACGCAGGTCACGCGTACGCACGCAGGTCACACGCACGCACGCAGGTCACGTGTACGCACGCAGGTCACGCGTACGCACGCAGGTCACGAGTACGCACGCAGGTCACGCGCACGCACGCAGGTCACGTGTACGCACGCAGGTCACGTGTACGCACGCAGGTCACGTGTACGCACGCAGGTCACGCGTACGCACGCAGGTCACGTGTACGCACGCAGGTCACGCGTACGCACGCAGGTCACGCGTACGCACGCAGGTCACGCGCACGCACGCAGGTCACGCGTACGCACGCAGGTCACGCGTACGCACGCAGGTCACGTGTACGCACGCAGGTCACGCGTACGCACGCAGGTCACGCGCACGCACGCAGGTCACGCGTACGCACGCAGGTCACGCGTACGCACGCAGGTCACGCGTACGCACGCAGGTCACGCGTACGCACGCAGGTCACGTGTACGCACGCAGGTCACGCGTACGCACGCAGGTCACGCGTACGCACGCAGGTCACGTGTACGCACGCAGGTCACGCGCACGCACGCAGGTCACGCGTACGCACGCAGGTCACGCGTACGCACGCAGGTCACGCGCACGCACGCAGGTCACGTGTACGCACGCAGGTCACGTGCACGCACGCAGGTCACGCGTACGCACGCAGGTCACGCGTACGCACGCAGGTCACGTGTACGCACGCAGGTCACGCGTACGCACGCACGTCACGCGTACGCACGCAGGTCACGTGTACGCACGCAGGTCACGCGTACGCACGCAGGTCACGTGTACGCACGCAGGTCACGCGTACGCACGCAGGTCACGCGCACGCACGCAGGTCACGCGTACGCACGCGTGTTCTAGGTTGCGCTCTTTTTGGTGATCGGGCTTTTGTTAGCGTGGCACTCTCGAGATCAGGACTTGCCACTTGAAATCAGGCAATCACAGAGTCGGTAGGTGACGACGCATTTGTACTTACGCGATCTAACCCAAAAACCTTTATTATGAATAGGTATATTTAACTTAAATAGGTCTTTTTTAGTCTGCTCTGACACCCCATCTCTTGAAAGTGACCTCCCGTCCTTAGTTTTGTCGGTTGCACCTGGGTTCTGTTTTTGTTTGTTGATGTCCATGCAATGCACAATGGAATCCTAGGATGGAATGGGCAATTATACATTTGAATGATTTTTTTATTGAACTTCTTTCACACCGTACGTAACCATGCGTGCTCATCGGATGTGCGGAGGGAGGGGGAACAAGACGATGCGCGTGTGTGTGGTTCTCCCCCAAGTGGCCAATAAATACATTATCAGTGGCCTAATCACGACATTATCAGCTCAGGGGGTGCGGCAATCGGTCAGGTGCCCCCCCAACCCCCCCCCCCCCCCCATTATTTGACTTGAATTACATTAAAATAAAGCGTGGAACGTAAATGAAAGAATTTCAATTAAAACAACAAAATATTAAACCGCGTGTTAAAATAAGTTCGTATTTTTTTTTTGTTGAAAACATATCTCGTGGTGTTTGTCAAGGGGGGCCCACAACTCGTAGCTTTTACCACGGAGGCGGGGGGGGCGAGGCACCCCCCTGCCCCCCACGCTTCGTTACGCTGCTGCTCTCCCCTCGTCTGCTACCACGAGAGATCCTTATCCTTCCCATAACAGTGACGTGCCCAGCGCACCCCCCCCCCAATCCCCTTGTTGTAGAGGATCGCGGTTCGAAACCAGCAAGCCGCCCTGGTTAATACTGCGCTGCGTGTATTGACGGTTGGAAATAGTACGCGTCGCTGGCTTCACGGCGGAGGTCACAGAGATCTCGTGATGCCTTTCGCGAGACTAGGCCATGGGAAAAAAGGACACATCTCACATTTCTCAATTGCTATTCTACATCACAAATATCACCCCCTCCCCACACCCCTTACGACTGGTAGACTAATGTACAGAGATAGCTGCTGCTGGGTTAATTCCCTAGGCTAGATCACATGGCGCTGGTTGCTTATAAACATTCCAGCTGTGGTTTCCAGCCCTACCTAGCGAGACGGACCGATTCTAAACTAAGCTAAAGAGTTTTTTTTTTTTTGGAGCGGCCGAAGACTCGAAACGCATGTTGACTCTAAATGTGGAGCGAAAAACCAGAGGACCCGGAGAAAAATCCACGCGATCACGGGGAGAGAGACATGCAAACTCCAAAATGTACAAGGGATCGAGATCGAAATCACGACGTCCTGCACACCAGGCGACGTAGTTAACAGGTAAATTCCCTCCCGTCCTCGCGTTCGGAGCAATAACCTTCTTGTTATTACGATGACACGTCCCGAGTTTTCTGAATCTCAGAGGTGGCAATCCTGGGCCACTTGCGCCCTCACACGTGACCCACCACCACTCCCCCACCGACCCGCGCCCACACCACCGCCACACGGCAGATTGCTCGCCGCACGCTTAACATTCCGGGCGGTTCGCGCGTGCGGAATAAACGCTGCTCCACACATCGCCTGCTGCCTGCGCGCAGATAATGCGCGGCCACCCTCGTTGAGCACCCAGCCCAGGCGGTATTGTAAATCGCCTGGTCCAGCGGACAAGTAGAGAGTGAGAGAGACAGACAGACAGACAGACAGAGAGAGCCGTGGTTTATTTTTGTTGTTTTTGTTGCATTCTGTAGAAGAGTGTTCGCTCATGTTGCGTGAAGGTGTTGGATGGCCGGGTGATGCCTGCCAACTGCCGCCGGTACGATGGCGCAGTGAAGTGAAATCGGCAGGTCGCGTGCGGTGGTGTAAAATGTGGGTACCTATTTCCCACGCGTCTCGGAGAAGAGACGCGAGACCACTCTGGTTCTTCCTCTCGTAGAGGCCCCTTCCGCTAGCAGTGGGGTGATTAAAAACTGCATGGCTGCGCCTTTAACTGATACAGTATATACACACACACAGCGTAAACGTCCAGCCCTCTATCAGTCCACTACTGCATGCAGGCCTCCTCCAGGCTGTGTCAATCACCGGGGCGGGGGTTGTTTGACCATACCTCACCACGCTGGTGACGGGGAAGACCCAGGACTCGGTTCAGATGTCACTTGCCACTGATGTTAGCCATGGCCCCGTTATTGAACTCGGCTCACCATCTGCCTAGTGCCACTACACCTATGCGAATTAAATCACTTCTACAGTTTCCACTTCATATTCTTAGGTTTTTTTCGGTAAAGTCACGTAGGTAAAACATTAAAATGAATAAAAGTAAAATAAAATAAAAATCACGACGTTTCGGAGGCAACACAAGCTTCCGTCTTCAGGTGGAACCGTCACAGCCACGACAGCTGTATCAAGTAAATGAGAGATTGCAGGAGCTACCACTCCGTTTATATAATTGTTACTTGATACAGCTGTCGTGGCTGTGACGGTTCCACCTGAAGACGGAAGCTTGTGTTGCCTCCGAAACGTCGTGATTTTTATTTTATTTTACTTTTATTAATTTTAATGTTTTACCTACGTGACTTTACCGAAAAAACCTAAGAATATGAATCCTTGCAGTCACGAAAGCTTCAAATCTAGAATTAGATGCCACTTCCCCATCAGAGAGTTGGAGCCACCACGGGGCTTCATTGCAGTGGAATTCTGCGCGGAGACTTTCGATTCGATCGGGTGAAATTTTTTTATTTTGCCAGTGCAAGCAGAGATTAGGCACATCGTGTTTTTTTTTGTTAGTTCTTTAAATGCGGAGGTTAAGATTCACGATCAACGTGAGCAGTGCGGTTTGGACGCAGCGTGAAAACGCAAGCCACGTGCCGCATTTGTTTCACAGCCTCTAGAGCTGTTCGGGCTTTTCGAAGTTGAATTCAGTTGAATTCGAATGAATTCAGTTCTCAAAGCTGATCCCGTCACGCGGATGCAAAACGTCGGGCATCGTATGAACAGCGCGCGGCACGACCCGAATGCAGCAGTGTAGCCGTGTAGCCCATCGGCCAAGGTGGTTGGTTGGCACCACTTGGAGTGGTAATGTCTTCCAAGATCTACCACGGGCAGTGTTCATCATTGGCAGTATCCACCAAGGGTGGAGATCACACTGTGTGCTTGATAGCCACCCTTCCCACGAATTGTCACCTTTCCATAGAGAATTAAAGTCACGTTCTTTGGGTCTTACCGAAAGACCCAAGGAATATGAATTCCTGCAGTCACGAAAGCTTTAAGTCAAGAATTAAAGTCACGTTCCGGGTGTTTTCTTCTTCCTCCAAAGCCACTCTCGCTATCAAACACACTCCTTTAAAATGACATTTTATCTCAAAAAGCTACGAGAAGGTCCAAGCTCTCACACATATTTCCCATCTCGGGATCAGCCGCTTTTCAGCAAATCATTGGTAGCAGTCGCCATCCTAGCTAGTACCGATGAACCAATTTCGGGCCTACGGCTCAACGGCTCATGGATGCGCGCGTGCTCTCTCGTTACGCAGATGGACGTCGCTGGCGAGCCTCGGGAAAAGTCGACGACCGCCCTCCGTCCGAGCGACGCTTTGATCGCAGATACTGCCACCACCGCAACCGCCACCACCGCCACCACCACCACCACCACCTTCGCGAGCGGCGACTCAACGGCGACGGCGTTCGGCGACGGGAAGTGGCAGGAGGTGTCGGAGGGCGCCACCATCGGCACCTCCGGCCTCTCGCTCAGCGCGCTCCCGGAGCGGCTCGAAGGGTCCCCGCGGTGGACGCGCGACGGCGCGGAGGTCGCCTTCGACGAGTCTCCCAGCGACGCGCTCGAGTCGCTAGGGTGGGAGACGCCGTCGGCGGGGCTGCCGGATTCCCGCTCCATCACGGGAAACTTGCCGAGGCCACCGGCCCAAGCGGAAGATTCACCAGAATTGCCTCGGCCGGTGACGCGTTGTCAACCGCTGTCTCGCGAGAACGGCGCTGCTGCTGCTGCCACTGCTGGTTCAGGTCACAGGTCACCGTGCGGTGATAGCCGCAAGCCCGATCATCGTGCCACCACTCCTGGCTGTGGCAGCGGTGCCGAGTACGCGCGAAGGCCGTGAGTGATGAGACGCAGATTTAATTGTGCACTGAACGGTTTTATTTACAAGCTATTAGCTCTTTTTCAGAAGCGACCTGGTCACAAAGGATAACTCAATGGAGTAATTTTCAGCGCGTCCAGATACTCTTAAAGCATGTTCTTAAATGTGGAGGGGTAAAACCGGATGACCTGGGGAAAACCCCCCACGATCACGGCCAGAGAGAGAGAAAGACATATACAGCAGCAGGCGTTAGGGTCGGGATGGAACGCACGATCTCCTGTAGACCAGGTAAGGTAGTTAACATCTCCTAGCCACCGTGATGATGATGATGATGATGAGAAAGACACTCAAACTCCAAATATACAGCAGCAGGCGTTAGGGTCGGGATGGAACCCACGATCTCCTGTATACCATGCGAGGCAGTTAACATCTCCTCGCCACCGTGATGATGATGAGAAAAACACTCAAACTCCAAATATACAGCAGCAGGCGTCAGGATCGGGATCGAACCCACGACCTCCTGTATACCAGGCGAGGTAGTTAACATCTCGCCACCGGGTTGCGTGCTCGCCAGGCACTGTAAGGCACGGGGCTGTGAGGTGTAGCCTAGGATGGTGGCGGTACAGGTATGGATTAGTACACACAATGGACAGGAAGGACCAACTCAATGGGCTCGCATAATGAGCATGCATAATGCACGCTCACTCATTAACCCCCCCCACCTCCCCACACTTTGCACAAAAAGAGCGCAGAAGCGTGGTCACCACATCTACGCCTCTATTTAAGGAACGAAGCAGGTGGACATCTCCACAAATATGGCTGTCACCTGATGAAGCTAGTTGTAATTACTAGCGAAGCGTCGTGCTCAGTTTGTGAATGTTGTGGCTTGGCTCTCCAAAACACCGGTGTGCTGTACTAGTATACTACACTACTACACTACACCACTACACTATACACTGCACTTCTTTTCACTACACTATTACACACTACACTATACACTACACTACTACACACTACACACTAGTGCTGTACTAGTGACGAATTGGCCACGTTCTGTTTACGTGACAACCCTTACTGGTTGGCTGTGTCGGGTGGTGGCGGGGTTTTAACGACACATTTATATATTCACGCGATCTAACGCCCCAAAAAAACCTCTATTATGGAGCTATGGATTCTTAAATCTATCCGTGCGGAGCTTTGAGTGTGACCCACGACCCCTCGTCGCACTTGGTAGGGTTCCTCCACGCGCTACCGATTTGCCTCCCACGCCACGGCCAAACATCCCGTGAATGGAACTCGTCGACAAACATCTCCTGAATGCAGCGGGGCGAGGACGACTCGACGATGCTTTTGTAGGTAGAGACTAAAACGACGTGGAACTCCATTGGAACTTCATTTGCCAGTAAAAATATGATAATTGTTTTTTTACCCTTCTATCTGGCAACAAAACTGACACATTTTTTTACAAGGAGTCATGTTTACATAGACCACAATACCTGCAGTCATAATGCAAACAAAAACATAACTCTGATAATGTATGCACTGTCCTTGAAGTTGATTGGTCCACACCCGAGACAGCTTTCCTTAGAGCCTAGTCTCACATGGAACGACTGGGCGATGCTTTTGTAGGTAGAGACAAAAAAAACGTGGAGCTCGCTCACTGTCAGGGCAATGTGCGGTGCGTATTCACAATCGCGACTCGCAGCGCTGATGCCAATCCATCGCTGGATGGAAGAAGGCCCACCCGTGCCAAGGTTGCTGAACGTGGATATGGGGCCGTCCATAAATGACGTCACCCACCTGGGGGGGGGGGTCAGACATTTGTGACGATATGTGACGAAGGGGGGGGGGGTTTAGAAATGTGACGTCACATCAAAATGCGCAACTTTAAATAAATATAGACAACACGTTCTAATTAATTAAATATACTTTATAATAAATGTTTTCTCCTACAACATCAGAGTGCAGCGCCACATTAAATACGCACTACAATGACAATAGTTTTAAGCGATTTGAAGCATGTTTAATTTATTTTGGGGGGGGGGGCAGAGCTATGTGACGTAATATTTGAGGGGGGGGGGTCTGACTTTTTGTGACGCCGTGTGATTTGAGAGGGGGGTGGTCAAAAATAGTCCAAAATCGCGTGACGTCATTTATGGACGGCCCCTATGGCAGTCGAGGTCCCGTTCAGGATATATCACTCGCCGCTGCTGTTTTAACCCCTGGATGAGAATTCAACTGCAATGGAAGTTCATGGGACGAGTGACCGTAGCGGCGCGAAAGAAGAGACGCCTTGTAAATTAACATTATCCTTATTCCTATTGCCTTGTGGGGTTTAGATTGCTGTCCCTCCCCACCCCGCGTGCACTTCCGATTAGAACGGTTGGTTACGTACGGTGCGAAAGAAGTTCAACACAGATACGTACATATAATGTGATGGCTATTCGAGTTCTAGATTTGAAGATTTCGTGACTGCAAGGATTCATACTCTTAGGGGTTATTTTTTTTACCTACGTGACTTTACCGAAAAAATATTTTTTTAAAAACCTAAGAGCTATTCGAGTTATCGCTGCCGCCGCTGCTGCTCTTATCTATCTCCCGCCCAGGGCGCCTCCCCCCGTCGAGTCAGCGAGGAACTCGGAGTTCCATGGAGCCCGGGCGAGCTCGGTGTTCTTCCGCGGGGAGTCGCTCCGCCTGGAGCCCCGCGGCCTGGAGCTACTCAGGGTGGAGTTGGACACCGCCAATGCGCACAACGAGGCGGTGAGCGTCCGCACAATCGTCTGCGTCATCGTCACCATCACCATCATCACTGTGATCATCTTCACTGTCATCACTATCATCATCACATCACTGTGATCATCTTCAATGCCATCACTATCATCATCATCATCACTACTGTGATCATCTTCATTGCTTTCACTATAATCATCACTACTGTGATCATCTTCATTGCCATTACTGTCATCATCATCATCATCACTACTGTGATCATGTTCATTGCCATCACTATCATCATCATCACTAATGTGATCATCTTCATTGCCATCACTATCATCATCATCACTACTGTGATCATCTTCATTGCCATCACTATCATCATCAACACTACTGTGATCCATCTTCAATGCCATCACTATCATCATCATCATCATCAATGCCATCACTATCATCATCATCACTACTGTGATCACCTTCACTGTCATCACTATCATCATCACGACTGTGATCATCTTTATCGCCTCTGTCATTGCGGCGCAGGGAGTATCTGTGCAGAGCAGGAACTCTGTATTCAGCAGGGTGCTGCTGCTACTCTCTCTGAGTATATGTAGGTGTGTGTGTCAGGGTGTATGTGGGGGGGCGGTGGCGTAGTGGTTAGTGCGCTGCGCTATGAACCTGGCGACCCGGGTCCGATTCCCGCTCACGGCCAACACCAGCGACGATTATCTGAACCGGTCCCGGGCCTCCCCTAGGTCGACTCAGCCTCAAATGAGTACCCGGTGCGGTGTGCAGTAAACATCGCCACTGGGGAGACAAAGGCGTCCGGGCGTAGTGTTGGCCACCCACCCCCTCGTGCGCCGCGCCGGCCTTCATAGGTGCTGCTTGCTAACGGCACTTGCCCCAACAGTCTGCCGAGGCTATACGGGGGATCTTTGTCTTTGTTTCGTGTATCGAGCGGGTTGCTGCCGCCTTCTTCTGCGAGCAGCTCCAGGAGAGGCTGCGGGAGGCGGACGAGGAGTTGTCGGCGTCGCGCTGCGGCCTGGAGCTCGAGGTGAAGCAGATGGAGGCGAGGGTGGCCGAGAAGGCTGCAGGTGACGCGCCGACTCCGTGTGTGGATTGCGCTGTGGGTGGGGGGGGGGGGGCGCAGTGGGTGTTTTGATTTTCATTTGAACCACGCAAGGTCCCCCAACTGAGTGACGTAGCTCTGCTTCAGGACCGACCCGGCTGTCACAAATGATGGCCCGGACGAAGCGGCGGCTTGTCGCGTGCGACTTTGCAGCAGCCAATTGGTCTGGACGCGCGATATGCTGAACGTGGAGGGACACACACGGAGGACCCGGGGAATATTTCACGCGAACACGGGGAGAGACAGAGACGCAAGCCACAAATATACGGCAGGCATCGTCAGGGTCGGGTTCTAAACTCCTGTATACCAGGCGAGGTCGTTAACATCTTGATGTAGACTCCAAATAGATAGAGACTTTACGGTTGGGATCGAACTCAAAACCTCCTGTATACCAGGCGAGGTCGTTAACATCTCGATTTAGACTCCAAATATAGAGACGATATGGTTGGGATGGAACTCAAGACCTCCTGTATACCAGGCTAGATAGTTAACATATCGATTTAGACTCCAAATACAGAGACATTACGGTTGGGATCGAACCGAAGACCTCCTGTATACCAGGCGAGGTCGTTAACATCTCGATTTAGACTCCAAATATAGAGACGATATGGTTGGGATGGAACTCAAGACCTCCTGTATATCAGGCGAGGTCGTTAACTTCTCGATTTAGACTCCAAATATAGAGACTTTACGGTTAGGATCGAACTCAAGACCTCCTGTATACCAGGCGAGGTAGTTAACATATCGATTTAGACTCCAAATACAGAGACTTAACGGTTGGGATCGAACCCAAGACCTCCTGTACACCAGGCGAGGTCGTTAACATCTCAATGTAGACTCCAAATAGATAGAGACGTTATAGTTGGGATCGAACCCAAGACCTCCTGTGTACCAGGCGAGGTAGTTAACATCTCATAGCCACCACTGTGCGCTGCTGCTACGGAACCTGCCCAGCCCGGTTCCCGCTCACAGCCCGGGCTTCCCCGTAGGTCAACTCGGCCTCAAATTAGCACGTGGTGCGACGTGTGACCATCGGCACTATGGGGAGACAAAGGCGGCCGGGAGTGGTGTTGGCTACCCACCACCACCCTCGGGTGGGTAGGTGGCCTTCAATGAATATTTGGTGCGGCTTGAAATACATCAGCTCTGGGGAGACAAAAGCGGCCGGGCGTAGTGCTGGCCACACTGCTCGCAATAGATGCTTGCCAAGAGCCCTTGCCCGAGCAGTCGTGCAAGGCTGAATCAAGATTGAAAACGCATTTCTTTAAAACTGGATTTTAAGTGTCTGGTTTGTTTCCGTTCCCTCGCACCGACGATTTGCACGGTCGGCCACGTACGGTGCGAAAGAAGTTCAACGTGCGTGCGTGTGCACGTGACACCGTGCGTGGGTTGGTCGCGTTGGCAGCTTGGGAAGGCAGAGGGGGTGCGTAGGCTTCATTCAGCAGTGGATTGACCATGGCTAATGATGATGGTGATTACACCATGGCTAATGCTGATGGTGATTATGGCTCATGATGATGCTGATTACACACCGTTTCTGCACCCGCACCTGTTTACTTATCGTCGTTCTTGTAAGTCGCGCGCGGCATCTCTACCAAAGCCGGCCCGATCATCCTCATCATTTTGAAAGACCCGACCCTGGAGTTTGATCTTCCACGTAGCTCGTGGTCTGCCCCAAACCGCATCCCACGACACAAACCACGGCAGCGATAGATAGACGCGGAGAGCCACAAATGGAACGTTCAAAACTCTCCGGCATGACGCGACTGTGGTCATCCACAACACAGGCGCAATCGTCACGGGCGCAATGCCCCCCGACCCACAGAATTCGAGGAATGTGACATCACAGCACCGCGCCCGTTATCTGCTGGGCTTGACCAAAATGAATGTGAAATTGCAGTCTCTGTATCCGCATCTACCATCAGCAGCCCATAGGAGCGAAGATTATTATTATTCCTGGCACCATCCGGTCGAATCCATATGCTGTCTGCCCCCCCCCCCCTCTCTCCCTTTCTCTCCCCGGCGCTAACCGCCGTGACACCACTGGTCCTGTCGTTGTTTGCACAACACCGCCATGCGTATTCACAGCCTCTCCCCGCCTCGTCTCCAATTCCTCTTTTCTCTCCGATGGGAGTCCAACACACACACACACACGGGCACATACACACACACACACAACGGACCGAGAGAGCGAGGAGAGAGAGGGAGAAAGTGAGAGCGAGCGAAGCACAGAGAGAGATCTACAATGAGACCTCCCTCCCCCAATCTATCCCACACCGCCTCCCAAAGGCTCCGGTCACTTCCCCACACCCACATTTCAAATGTTTGTTTGTGCACTGGCTCCCGTCCAAATTACAAAGAGCCGGCCGGGTGAGCGCACAGGTGAGCCAGAAGAGCTCGGTCGAATTTTTTCCATCCAATCATCACCCCCGGATCCATCCCCATCCATCCCTCCCGGCGACTGCCAATGGCGGAATCGACCGAACGCACACACACACGGAGAGGGGAGAGACCCCGTGGGGAAAGAGCGCATGGTTTTAGCGAAATCGCCTTTTTAATGCCTCTCGTTCCGCCGCCACTTGTGATGCCGACCCGGTCGGGATGCTATGTATGTGGGTACGTGGCGCACTGCGACACCATGGCTATTCAGCCTGACGCCTGCTGTATATTTGGAGTTTTGCGGTGTCTCTCTCGCTCTCCCCTTGGTCGAGTGGAATTTTTCTTCTCCGAGTTCCTTCGGTTTTTCCATCCACATTTAGAATGAACATCACCGCGTTTCGAGTATGTTGGCTTCTATACATTTCAACGCGATGAGCCACTTTGCTGAGCTTTCATTTGTAGCGTGGTCGCTTCTGAACAATAGCTCTATGTAGCTCAGGGGGCCTTATTTGGTCAAATAAAAAGAGGTCGTTTACAAAAATTTTGGCGTGGACTTTTCGTGGAATGCCACGCTAATAGGTGGCACACACCACATCTCAACTAAACTTTTATTTTTACCAGGTAAGGCCCACTGAGCTGTATAACTCTTTCTCAGTAGCAAACTGGCCACAAATGGTAGCTAAACGAATTGGCTTATCATCATGTGGAAATCTATAGCCGTAGCCGAATACTATAAACGCACGTTGGTTCTAAATGTGGAGGGAAAAACTGGAGGATCTGGAAGGAAAAAAATCCCACAGCGACCACGAAGGGAGAAACATGTCAACTCAAAATACAGAGGCGTCAGGGTCGAGATCGAACCCATGACCTCCTGTATAGCAGGCGATGTAGTTAACATCACACACACACGCACCCTCTCAAATGAACGCACTTGGATTGAGTAAACGGTGAAGATGCAGCCCTGCCATTGTCTTGCGAATGCCATTGATGGCGGAAGGGCCATCGACGCAATGGGAGCTTGAAGTGATGCTGATGGCGCTGCTGCTGCTCCTGTTGCTGATGCTGCTGCTGCTATCGCTGCTGTTGCTGCTGCTGATGCTGCTGCTGCTGCTGCATCTATTTCTGCTGCTGCTCCTGCTACTGCTGCTGCTCCTGTTGCTGATGCTGCTGCTGCTATCGCTGCTGTTGCTGCTGCTGATGCTGCTGTTGCTACTGCTCCTCTTGCTTCTGCTGATGCTGCTGCTGATGCTGATGCTGCTGCATCTATTGCTGCTGCTGCTCTTGCTACTGCTGCTGCCCCTGCTGCTGATGCTGCTGCTCCTGCTGCTGCTCCTGTTGCTGCTCCTGTTGCTGCTGATGCTCCTGTTGCTGCTGATGCTGCTGCTGCTGCATCTATTTCTGCTGCTGCTCCTGCTACTGCTGCTGCTCCTGCTGCTGCTCCTGTTGCTGCTGCTGCTGCTGCTGCTGTTGCTGATGCTGTTGCTACTGATGCTGTTGTTGCTGCTGCTGCATCTATTGCTGCTGCTGCTCCTGCTACTGCTGCTGCTCCTATTGCTGCTGATGCTCCTGTTGCTGCTAATGCTCCTGTTGCTGTTGATGCTGTTGATGCTGCTGCTCCTGCTGCTCCTGCTGCTGCTCCTGCTGCTGCTGCTGTTGCTGCTAATGCTCCTGTTGCTGTTGATGCTCCTGTTGCTGCTAATGCTCCTGTTGCTGTTGGTGCTCCTGTTGCTGTTGATGCTGCTGCTCCTGCTGCTCCTGCTCCTGTTGCTGCTGCTGCTGTTGCTGCTGCTGCTGTTGCTGCTGCTGCCAGTGCTGGTGGACGAGATCCTGGTGGCGCAGCGACAGAGAGACGAGGCGATGCTGTCGCGGGTTCACACGGCCGAGGAGGAGCGGGAGGCGGCCGTGGAGAGAGCCCGACGCTTGGAGAAGGAACAAGCGGAGTGGGTGACGAACGCACGCGCACACACACACACAAAGATCCCCCGTGTAGCCTTAACAGACTGCCGAGGCAAGTGATGTTAGCGAGCGCCTATAAAACCCGGCACGGCACACGAGGGGTGGGTGGTCAGCATCGCGCCCGGCCGCCTTTGTCTCCCCAGTGGCGATGTTTACACACACCGCACCAGGTACTCATTTGAGGCTGAGTCTACCTAGGGGAGGCCCAGGACCGGTTCCGATAATCGTCAACGGTGTTGGCCGTGAGCGGGAATCGAACTCGGGTTGCTGGGTGTGGTAGCGCAGCGCGCTAACCCCTATGTTACCGCTACGCTTAAAAAAGACAAATATCCCCCGTGTAGCCTTAACATAATTTCGGGGCAAGTGATGTTAGCGAGCACCTATGAAGGCCGGAACGGCACACGACTCACACACACACCACGCACACACGCGCGGTCACAAACCATCAGCCGGGGCAGTGACGCGCCCGAACGGTAGCGCGTTATATGCTTGCCTGCTGCAGAAGTTTGTGGTTCGGACTCCAACGGCCGCCCTGGTGCAATTGCCATGAACTTCTACTACCATACGGCAGCGCTGTGAGTCTATTAACCATACGATATTCACACTACTACGACGTACCGTCTGCTTCACGGAGTGGCAAACACGTGTTTCAAATGTTGCATGAATCGTTGGGTGATAACCGCGTTGAGCAGTGGGGCAAGAGCGCAAATGACAAGAACCTCGCACGCATCAATCAACGTGTGTTGTCTTATGAATTAGGGTCATTGCCCGAAACGTCGCCTGTTATATATTTGTATTTTTTCCTTCTCCAAGACCGCCAAGTGTCACTGACGGCGGTGTCGAATTGCTAATGACACACGCCACTATTAATGCACGTACGTGCAGTATTGTCCTGTAAAGTGGTGATAGTTGTCTTCTTGGTTCTTTCGGTAAAGTCACGTAGAAGGGAAGTAATATAATAATAAAAATAAAACATAATACAATTTTAATTTTAATTTTAAATTTAATTTTATTATAATTTTATTATGTTTTATTTTTATTATTTTATTACTTCCCTTCTACGTGACTTTACCGAAAGAACCAAGAAGATGAATCCCTGCAGTCACGAAAGCTTTAAATCAAAATTGGTGATAGTTTCTTTACAGGAAAATCGCCTTATAATAAATAAGATCGGAGTAAAGCACCGTCCGCTATAAGCCCCGTGAGATTCGTGCGCAGGCCGCACGAACACCGGGGCACGTGGGTCGCATCTAGAAGCATCCAGCAGCATCCCAATGCCTTGCGCGATGATGCAACTTCGAGGCAGCCGTACGAACGCTTACTCCGACTCGCGCGACGTAGTTCTCTGTTCACTCGGTCGCGTTAATATCCAAATCGCATCTGCGTTGTAACAAAACAAAAGTGTTGCCTAATACGTTAATCGCGTTATATCCAATTCGCGTTTTGAAAACGGCACGCTGCGTTATAGGAGAACGGAGTGTACAGTCAAATATCTACATTCGCCGATTTTTCTATCGCTAAATTCGATTATTCGCGATTTTATATCTTCGTGAAAGGTAAATAAAACTTCCAAATTTATAGTTTAAGATATTGATATTGCTGTGTTTGTGTTATTGTCTATTTGTATTTATCTTCTTGGTTCTTTCGGTAAAGTCACGTAGAAGGGAAGTGATACAAAAATAAAAATAAAACATAATAAAATAAAATAATTCTCACGACGTTTCGGCCACAACGCAAGCAGCCGTCCTCAGGTGAATTATTTTATTTTATTATGTTTTATTTTTATTATTTTATTACTTCCCTTCTACGTGACTTTACCGAAAGAACCAAGAAGATGAATCCCTGCAGTCACGAAAGCTTTAAATCGATATTTATATGTATTGTACAATTTCATTAGTGTGTGGATGTTATTCATGTGTACAGCGCAGCATTCATGTTACGAAACATTAATTTTTTTGCCTCCCGTTATGTGCAGTGTGACACGGCAAAGCGAATATAAACATCGTATCCATTACATTTGCTCATTCCATTTCTCTCTTTTCAGGATATTTGATTACAATTGTGAGCAACTCGACTTGGTAAGTTGCATTGTGTAGGGCTTGTCTCTTATACCGTACGCACTTTACACAACACGATGTATTACCGGACATCACACCCCCCCCCCCCCCCCCCACCGATAAGATGAATTAAATAATGCAAAGGGCGCTGGCAAAAGTGCAGCCCTGATAGTGCTCGCTCACTGCACTGCTGACAGAAGAGGAAGCTGCAGAGAGCTCCTCGAGCCAGTATTTGGCCTACTCTTCCACGCCAGCCAGACGTCTTGGAGGAGGTAGGAGCACCATGCGACTGTGGCCACGCAGCCCAGGCTATGGAGTAAACCCACCCTCGTCTGCGGTCCTTCAACGGAGGAGGAGGTACAGCAACAACAAAAACTACACGAACTCGACTAACTCCTGAAGCCCTTTCCTCGTGGCTCGCAGCAGGCCTCGACATCGGAATAAAGATTCTGGAAAATAATGTGGCAGGCATCATCGTAATATCATCTGTTCATATTTACCGGTTGCGAAAGATCACCCTTTCTCTTCTCAGTGGTTATGCCTCTGTAGCAACAAAGTTCTCCATCTGACGCATTGTTCGACTCTGTAGAACAGGGGTGGGCAACGTCCGGTCCGCGGGCTGTACAAGGCCCGCGAAATCATTTGGTGTGGCCCTGCCAAGGCAACCGCAGGCGGAACTCGAAATCAATAAATCTAGGAGCAAACCTGGAAAAGCAGTTGCGAGTAGCAGCAACATCATCACCACCAGCTAACATCACACACGCCTCACCAAAGAGAAGCAGTTCCAGCCATCGCATTAGGGGCGAGTTAATTAAACGTTTGACCACATATAACGGGCTAATTTTTAAGTTGATAATTTGGCATGGCCCGCGAGTGATGTTATAAATATCCAAATGGCGCTTTGCAGAAAAAAGGTTCTCCACCCCTGGCGGAGAGCAAGCGGTAAATATCTAGGGAGTTTCTCTCGACTCTCGGTGGCTTCAATTTAACGGAAAACAGATTGATGCAGAGGAGGAGGAGGAAGAGTGATAACGACAGGAACGAGCTCTACTGAAGCCATAATCAACGTTTTTGGGTTTAGATCGCGTTATTTATAAATGTGTCGTAACCCTCCACCACCCGACACGGCCAATCAGTAAAAAAGTGTCACGTTGACAAAAGACAAAATAGTTCACTGCTTTAGCCCACCGGTGTGTTGAAGCCACGACATTTACAATTTGAGTAGTACGATGTTTCGCTGGTAATTGCATCCAGCATCATCGGGCAATTCGCCAGAATGGTGAGGCTCTGCTGTGTCTCCCGTTCTTATATAGAGCAGCAGCAGGGTGACGTCATCATTAACTCATTAACGCGATCTTAACCCAAAAACGTTGATTATGAATAACATTGGTCGCGAAAGCCTGCTACGTGTTAATCTACTGAAGCCCTCTCGTCGTGGCTGGCAGTAGCAGACCTCGACATTGGCATCGTGCACACGGACAGAATAGAAATCCCCACACACACGTGAACCTGCCAATGGAGGAACTGCAGTATGGTTAACCCATTCACGCTGCCAGGTGGACAGAGGGACAAGGATTTAAGAAACTTGACCCCCACCCACATCGTTTCGGAAATGGAATCGAACCTCAATTTTATGGAACGGCGTTTTGTGTTTAGTTTGTTGTCCTGCCCCCACCTCCAATTAAGCACGGGTGGCTAGGCACGGTAGTGGGGGAAAAATTCAACACACATACATACATACACGCATACATACACACACACATGCACACACACGTGCATACATACACACACGTACACACATGCATACATACACACACACGTACATACATACACACATACATACACACATACATACACACATACACATACATACACACATACACATACATACACACATACACATACATACACACATACACATACACACACATACACACACATACATACACACATACACATACACCTACATACACACATACATACATATACATACACACATACATACACATACATACAACAACAACCGCCATTCGCCACTAAGTGGCGGTGACGTCACCACGACGCTTGTGCCAGGCCAAGTGCACCTTGAGGCCACGTGAAGTGTCGAAAGCCCGCTGGCAGGAGGTCACGGGGCAGACCCAGCAGGTGCCACGGGTCGACTGACCGATATGACATACATACACATACATACATACACATACATACACACATACATACACACATACACACATACATACAACAACAACAACAACCGCCATTCGCCACTAAGTGGCGGTGACGTCACCACGATGCTTGTGCCAGGCCAAGTGCACCTTGAGGCCACGTGAAGTGTCGAAAGCCCGCTGGCAGGAGGTCACGGGGCAGACCCAGGTGCCACTGGTCGACTGACCGAGATGACCGAGATGACTGGCTGATGCACCACCTGTGCCCCCTACTGTGCCAACTTGCTGTGCTTTAGCCACCCGGCGCTCCGCTCGTTGTTGTGAGCGTCGCTCCTCCGCCCTCCGTTGTTGTTGGAGGGCGACTGCCTCCAACTGCCCAGTAGCGTCCTTCACGAGCCTCCTCCACTGAGGCCGATCTTGACACCGCTGGTACCAGTCATCGGCAAGTCCACTCAGCTCCACGTCCTCCTGTACCACATCACTCCATCTCTTCTCCAGCCCGTGCCGCGCCCGTCTAGCCCCCTCGATCCGGCCGAACAAAAGCTGTTTAGGCATGCGGTGGCTGGGCATGCGGGCTACATGACCCAGCCAACGCAGCCTTGCCTGCCGGAGGAGCTCACTGATGGGACTTTGCCCAGATCTTTCAAGGATTTGTGAGCTCCTCACACAATCCAGCCTGGTTAAACCCAGGATGGATCGTAGGCAGGCCAGCCTAAATGTTTCCAACCGGCGAAGATGCTCCACCAGGGGGGTCCACGTCTCGCAAGCGTAGAGAAGGGAGGGAATGACCGTGGCCGAGAAGACCTGAAGCTTCGTGCGGAGCGACAGACCAGGTAGCTTCCACACAGCGTTACGCAACCGATGAAAAGATATTGCCGCTCGACTGATTCGGAGTGAGACCTCTGCTGATAGACTGGAGCCGGTCATAAGCACACTGCCCAGGTATGGGAAACTCTCCACTCTCTCCACAACTGCCCCATCACCAATTGGGAGTTGTGGGGGTGGAGTGTCCGATGGTACAAAATACCCAGGCAGGTGCTTGGTTTTGGTGGGGCTGATGGTAAGGCCCCACCTCTTAGTGGCACGCTCCAGTCTCAGCAGCAGCGCCTCCAACTCCTCTTCTGAATGAGCAGCTATTACCAAATCATCGGCATACATAACGTGGTTGACCAATAGGGAGCCATCCCTTGATCGCACCCGGGCGTCGATCAGCCTCCCATTATATCTGTACCAAACGGAAATTCCCCCGGTACAGCTATTGAAGGCTTCACGAACTACGCGGTCAAAATAGATGTTAAATAATGTGGGAGCCAGAGGACATCCCTGTCGCACCCCAAGGTGTACAGGGAAAGGCTCCGACTCCCGGCCACGTAGTTTTACCCGGGCCCGCTCACCATCATGAAGGTCCTTAATGATCGTGAGCAGAGGGTCAGGGACTCCGAAAACACGAAGAACAACCCAGAGTCCAGTCCTACTGATGGTATCATAGGCCTTGACCAGGTCAATAAAGCAGAGATGTAGGTCTTTTTGGAATTCCCTACACCTCTGCTGTAGCAGACGGACAGAAAATATGGCATCTGTGCAGGACCGCCCTTTCCTGAAACCGCATTGGGGCTCCGCAAGCCCCTCCTCAGCGTGCCTAGCAAGGCGATGTTGAATAATCCTTGCCAGGACCTTACCCGGCACACTGAGGAGTGAGATGCCCCTGTAGTTGTTACAGTCTGTGCGGTCCCCCTTCTTAAAGAGGGGGACCACCAGGGCATCCTTCCAGTCCTGCGGAACCCGTCCAGTGGTCCAGACTGTTGTTATGATGTCATATAGGGCAGTCTGTGCACAAACGCCACCCTCCCTCAGCATTTCGCTTGGGAGATCATCTCTGCCCGGTGCCTTCCCTGGTCTCAGACTCCGGATCGCCCTCAGTACTTCCTCAACAGCTGGAACCTCAGCCAGCCACTCACAGGGGGTGACCTCTTCCAATATTTGAGGCACCGCAGCCTCAGCAGGGTTATCCCCACTTTGTGCCATGATGTTTTCCTGGCTGAGAGAATTTCCCTCCCCCAGGACCTCACAGAAATGCTCAGCAAATCTGCAAACCTGTTCCTGGGGGTCGGAGATTGGATCACCGTTTTTTCCTCTAATGATGGTAATAGGTGTGGCGCTGCAGGTTACATTTTTGATGGAGTTAAATAGTGATTTGTGATCACGGGCCACTGAGGCAGACTCCATCTCCTCAGCAACCCGCGACCACCACCCATCCTTACAACGCCTTACGGCTCTCCGAACTTCCGAGCGAAGGCTGCGGTAAACCTCCTCATTCTCTGACGTGGGATGCTGTAGGCGATGAGAGTGGGCCTGTCGCTTTTTCTCAATTAACCTGAACACCTCCTCTGTCAGCCAGGGTTTCTGGGGAGGTCTGGACCGCGTACCCAAAGCAGCCATTGCAGCTGCATGAGTCACAGTCCTAAACCTCGCCCATTTACCCTCGACATCAGGTGGAGTGGGGGACGATGCCAACCCCAGCTGCAAGCGATGATGAAATTCTCGCTTGCAACTTTCATCAGCTAACTGAGACCAGGCCACTTTTGGTTGGAATGGGATCCTGGGTGTACACCCACCACCGGAGTGGAAGAAAGGCAGGCGCATCTTACAGATGACTAGTCGATGGACAGAGGACAGATCAGCTCCACGGTAGGTCCTGGTGTCAAGGACATGGGTTCGCATCCGCTGGTCCGTCACTATGTAGTCCAGCAGATGTTCTTGCTTGGACCCGGCATGTATCCATGATGTTGTGTGGATGCGCCGATGCCGGAAGAGCGTGTTGGTAATTACAAGCCCATGGGCTGCACAAAAATCTAGCAGCCTCCTACCATTATTATTGAGCTGATCTGGCCCATGCCTTCCAATCACTCCAGACCAGGTGTCAGCATCATGACCAACTCGGGCATTGAAGTCACCCAACAAGATGACTCTGTCCCGAGTGGCCACTTTAGCCAGCACCTGTGACAGGAGGTCATAGAAAGCGTCTGACTCATCGGCTTTGCTTGCATCCCTCCACGGATGTTCGTCTTCGGTGGGGGCATAAGTAACCACCACCACCACTCCTCGCCTCTGGTTGATGGGAAGGCGAGCCCAAAGTATCCTGGGGCTTACAGCTTCCCACACCTCACCGCCACGCTCCCACGCCCCCTTCATTCTTTTGTTCAGAAGAAGAGCCACACCCTGTTGTTTGGCAGTCTCCTGCCCCGAGTAGAGGACTGTCCACCCCTCATGGTGGCAGGAGCCAGAACCGGTCCACCGGACCTCCTGAATGCCACAGAGATCCAGGCGGTACCGGTCCAGCTCCCGACAGAGGAGTGGCAGCCTCTCCTCCGCAGTGAGCGTTCGAACATTCCACGTGGCCATCCGCAATGGTTTTTTGTTGTTTCTGGAGGAGCCCCGAGGGTGAAAATTCAATCTCCTGGCTCCGCCAAATGGGGTTTGGCCAGGAGACGTCATATAAGCCTGACCCCCCGGGGCCTCCGGCACAAGCTTATTTGTTACAGGTTTATGTTTAATTCGTGGTTTAGTGGTAATGAATTGAAGGTGGAGGGGTTACCAGCCCCTCACACCCGTCCAGAGCCCCCGTTTAGCCACTGTGGTGGTCACAGACGCCATGAGGGGAGAGGCCAATGGGCATTGGCCCTCCCCCCACAGCACTGCCCACGACAGTGTTGCCCGTCCGGCACCGCGAGGAGGTAGGAGGTTGTTTTGCCGGACATACACACACACAGACACATACACACATACACAGACACATACACACATACACACACGAATCGGCGACCTCTGGGTTGCAAGTTCCCAGTGCGCTGCTAACCGTTTTCAACCGCCGTGGCAGCTTCTCATTTTTGTTTATTTGAACGTGCAACACACGTGCGATGGAAAAGGTGTTTTAGATTGATGAAAACAAAGAATAGGTTTTACCCTTTCCGGCAATTAAACAGGTGTTAAGAAGTCTAAACACCAAAATAGAAACCTTTTGCAAGGCACCAAGTCTGCATTGCCCAACCCGTACTTGTGGCAAAACAATGCAAATTAACGTGCTCTGATTATAATATATTCATTGTCTTTAAAACTGATTGACCCCCCCCTCCACCAGAGGTCTTCTGTTTACCCTTTTCTCGTCACCAGTGTCAGGCCGGAGAACAGCGCGCGAGGGCGAACAGTACAAAGTTGTACATTTGCCGTGTCCACTCTGTCCGCGAAACGGGCACACCACAGTTAATCGGTTAAGTGTCCGCACACCGCTTTCGAGATGTCCGGCCAGCGTGGAAGAGTAGGCCAAAAACAATTATTTTTCAGGAGCGTCTGCTCAAGTCAAGGGCCTCTCCGCCTTGCAGTGGCGCGAGCGAAACAGTTGGCAGGGCTGCTCCTTGACCTCCCCAAGCGCACGCACGCACATTCGCACGTGTACACAAAAAGATCCCCCGTATAGTCTTGACAGACTGTAGGGGCAAGTGCTGTTAGCGAGCACCTATGAAGGCCGGACGTGTACACACGCACACGCACGCACGTGTGCACACGCACACACGCACACTCACGCACTTGTGCACCCACGCACACACGCATCAATCGGTTTGCTTTTTTTCGATTTAAAGCTTTCGTGACTTGGTTCTTTCGGTAAAGTCACGTAGAATGGAAATAATAAAATAATAAAAATAAAACATAACAAAATAATTCTTATTTATTATGTATTCTTATTTATCATGTTTTATTTTTTTTACTTTTTTTTCCATTCTACGTGACTTCACCGAAAGAACCAAGAAGATGAATCGGTTTGCTGTTAAATTGAAGCCACCGAGCGTGCACATCCACGCACGTGTGCACGCACACACGCACGTGCACACTCACGCACGTGTGCACGCACGCACACACCTACGCACGTGTGCACGCACGCGCGCGCGCGCAGGCCGTGGAAGAATTGCTGGAGGGCGTCCGCGAGGCGAACTCCGGCCGCGACATCGAGCGCTACGGAGCGGCCCTGGTGAGCCGCATCCGCAAGGGGCAGGCGCGACGCGACCGCATCACGGCGGAGGAGATGCGCGCCGTTGTGGCCGAGCGAGACGACGCCATCGCCCGGGTCAGCGCCGCGACGCTAAGGACGCCGAACGGTCGATTGGCCGCGAAGGGACCCGTGTGTTGATCGAGTCGCTCCTCTAGAAACAGCGCGCGGCTCATTTCGTCGCCCTGCCGAGCGCTTCGAACGCATCTCGAGCGAGCAGCGGCGCGGCAAAGGGTCGTGACGGCCAAAGCCCAACAGGTCGCGAAATGATGCTGCTGCTGCTGTTGTTGTTGTTACGCGGCGCACGAAAAAAGTTCATCGCCGCAAAAGCCACTGAGCGGGTTCGACGCTTGAACGCCGAAATGTGTCACCGCGCCACCGCTTGCTCAGGTGTGCGCCTGGCTGAACACACGCAACGGTGTCCAGACAAACATGCTCGCTGTCCACCGTTTGTCGCACGGGTCTCGCACACATCCCACATAGGGGAGCCGGGGGGAGGCGGTGTGAATGTTGGTGAAAATTCCCTGCCGAGTTCGAGCGCTCGCTGGGTTAGCCCCACAATGTTGGCAGGAACCGAATCCGCGTTGACTCTCCAACGAGGTCCCTGAGATATTTGTATCGCCTTCTACTTAGTCCTGTCAGGTCAAGGATCGTTGCCTGGGGCGATGGCGCTATTTGCAAGTGTAGCGCCCAAGTTTTGGAACACTTTGCCGCTAAGACAATCGGAATCGTTAATATATATCTATCTATTTAAGTCTGTCTTGAAAACTCACATCTTTGACATGCCCTTTACCCCCCCAGCTCTGGCCGTATATGCCCCCCAGGTTCTGTTTGTTTCCTGGCTTCCCGTACGCGGTGGCACGATGGGATCTACAAACTAAATGCGCCAGAGAGAGACACACACCATAGACATTCTCTGTGTGTCTGTGTTGTCTCTCTCCGCCTGTGTGTCTCTCTCTGTGTGCATCTGCGCTGTCTCTTTCTGCTTGTGTATCTTTGTCTGTGTGTCTCTCTCTGTGTGTCTCTGTGTTGTCTCTCTTTGCTTGTGTGTCTGTCTGTGTGTCTCTCTCTGTGTGTCTCTGTGTTGTCTCTCTTTGCTTGTGTGTCTGTCTGTGTGTCTCTGTGTGTCTCTGTGTTGTCTCTCTCCGCTTGTGTATCTTTGTCTGTGTCTCTCTCTGTGTGTCTCTGTGTTGTCACTCTTTGCTTGTGTGTCTGTCTGTGTGTGTCTCTCTCTCTCTCTGTGTCTCTGTGTCTGTGTTTTCTCTCTCTCTCTCTCAAATTTAGTTATACCTGATGACGGTTGCGTGCGTTGCAATCGAAACGTCGTTTTCTATTATTTATTTTCTTTACACGTGACTTTACCCAAATAACAAAATAGTAATTCCTACAGTCACGAAAGCTTAAAATCAAGTTTTTTTTACGTGGCAATTAGTCAGCATACATAAAGTATCATTATTATTATTAAAATGCACATTCCCACGTGCCTCGTTCACACGCGTCGCGTCTCGCGTTTCTCCCGCAGTGCAAAACGCTCGACCAGGAGCTGAGCCACGCGAAGGGGGAGCTGAGCGCCCGCGCCTCCTCGGGACAGACGAACGACCCCGAGCAGGAGCTCAAGGCGAGTGGCGGGGAGCGGGCAAGCGGTGGCGGCAGTGGCAGAGGTCGCAACCGGGTACCCGATACCCGTACCCTACCCGATACCCGGCTACCCGTACCCGGCCGGGTACGGGTAGCCGTTTGCGACCCTGGTGCGGCCGGGTACGGGTAGGCCGTGAGTCACTGGTGAGTCACCGTTTATCACTCATTTCGGGTAGGGTACGGGTACGGGTAGGGAACGGGTACCCGTACCCGGCCGGGTAAGGGTACGGGTACCCATTTGCGACCCTGATGTGGTCGGGTACGGGTACCGGTAAGGAATCAAAACTCGATTTAAAGCTTACGTGACTGCAGGGATTCATCTTCTTTGTTCTTTAATTATTTTATTATTTCCCTTCTACGTGACTTTACCGAAAGAACCAAGAAGATGAATCAAAACTCGTTTGCGACCTCTGGGCAGTGGTAGAGGTGGTCACGCGAGCACGTGACGATCCATCATCATCATCATATTCACCAGCTGTATCGACCGATAGCTTTCCGCTGCGTGAATATAAATGCGTCGTTAAAACCCGGCGCCACCCGACACGGCCAATTAAGTAAGGGTTGTCACGCAAACGAAACGCAACAGACGCTGTCTTTCCGACAGACCTGATCTTCACCTGAGGACGGCTGCTTGCGTTGTGGCCGAAACGTCGTGAGAATTGCATTTTATTATGTTTTATTTTTATTATTTTATTATTCCCTTCTACGTGACTTTACCAAAAGAACCAAGAAGATGAATCCCTGCAGTCACGAAAGCTTTAAATCGAAAGTTATTTGCTACTTCAGCACACCGGTGTATTGGAGAGTAAACCCACAACATTAACAATTTGAGCACTCTCGCGTTTAGCTGGTGGTTACAGCCAGCTTCATCAGGCGATTTGCCAGAATTGTGAAATAGCACTTCCTGTTTCGGTCTTAATTAGAGTGGGTGGGTGGGGGGGGGTCAGGAAGGAAAAAAAATCCCAATCTTCATCATGGATAATATTGGTTGCGAACGCCCTTACGTGTTGAACTCTCCACGCTGGCCGACGCAGCCCTGCGAAAACACAGCACACCGACTTGGGCCCATCGCACTGCGGCGCTTTGCTGCCCAAGCTGCCCTCTGCGACACCCACGACCCTCGCGGAGCCCGTGGCAACCTGGCGCCCGTGCACAGCAGCCGCCCATCCAACCCGCTGCTCAGCTTCGCCGATGTCTGTTGAGATCTTGCATTGCCTTTGGTGATTGTGGCCCATCAGCCGCGTACATGCTCGCAGACGCGCACGTTAGAGTGAGGTTGTGAATGTGAAATTTGAAGCTTTCGTGACTGCAATGATTCATATTTCTTAGGTTTTTTCGGTAAAGTCACGTAGGTAAAAATTTTTTATTCATAAAAGTAAAGTAAAAATAAAATAAAAATCACGACGTTTCGGAGGCAATACAAGCTTCCGTCTTCAGGTGGAACCGTCACAGCACGATAGCTGTATCAACTTGATACAGCTATCGTGCCGTGATGGTTCCACCTGAAGACGGAAGCTTGCGTTGCCTCCGAAACGTCGTGATTTTTATTTTTATTTTACTTTTATTAATTTTAAATTTTTACCGGAAAAAACCTAAGAATATTGTGAATGTGGCCAGCTGGTCCAGGGGTCATGTAAATATTGTATGTATGTACGTACCCTATGTTGAACTTTTTCGCACCGTACGTAGCCAGCCGTGGTTAATCGGAGGTGCGGGAGAAGGACAACAATCTAAGCGCAACTAGCAGTTATAAGGAAACGGGTTTGTTGTTTTGGCTAGTGCGGGTGACATTGTGTGGCGGGTTTCCTTTATCCATGGGAAGAAACCGGAGAACCCGGAGGAAAACCCATGCGGAACAGGGTGGGGGGGGGAGTCCAACTCCACATAGAGATGTGCCCGAGTTGGGAATCGAACTCAGGCGCTCCTTGCTGTAAGGCGCGCACGTTACCACTGCAAATGTCGCCGCTCTTGAACTAAAACCAAACTTGCCAACGTGCGCGGCTCTCGATGGGACAGGCACACCATGTTTGATTTGCGACAACAACAACAACAACAGCAGCAGCAAACAACAACAAACCGCTAACTTGGCGAGGACAAGAATTAAGACAACAACAACAATTAAACCAAATTCTGCGATAATCACGGTCGCGATGGGGACAATCGGATGGGGGAGCGATGGGCCCAGCATCAGGGCCCAAAGCGCGATCACTTTCACCGCCTTGAATATGTTCGGCATCCTCGCGCGCGCACAGCCCCTCAATCAAAAGCGGGGAGGAGGAGGAGGAGGAGGTGGATAAATGGATAATAGGGAAACAAAAAATAGCGGTGGTGGCGCGGACGGGAGAAAGCTTGCGCTGATGCGATTCCTCCTTGCTTATAGACAGCTTAGCCTCTGTTCCGGGCACCCGATTGTAAGACCTCCGATTGCCTAGGCAACGGAATTTGGCACTGTGTAAACACGGGGCGGGCGATGAAAATTAACGAAGTGAGTCGAGACGCGGAATCTCGATGGGCGGCTGATCTTTCACCCCCTCCCCACGTCCTACGTGGGATGAATTGCAATGTCGGCCTCCACCTCACCCCCCCCCTTCCTCCTCCACCTCCTCCTTCTCTGTCTCGAACTCCCCATCCTAACCGGAGCTCAAAGCGCCGCTCAAACTCATCGCAATCGCTACACAATGCGGATTTGCTGCTCTATACCCGGTAAACATGCCGACGTTGTCCTGACGTTGCCAACGTTGCACCGACGTTGTCCCGACGTCGGCATGTGGTTGGGACCGTCGGACCAACGATTGGCCCAATGTTAGGGCAACGTTTTGCGTGGGTGCGTTACGCTCAAAAAACTAAAACTCAGAAGCCATTGGCCAAGCAAACCAAACGCACGAGATAAGGCAACGCAGAAGCACAACGAGCGTTCCACGCGCGCAGAAGGTGATTTCTGGACAACAAAAGTGCAGTTCACTTTCATGTATTAGGTATAGCCCTGTGGCTCTTGAATCGGGTGCAACCGCAACAAAACAAAAAACATGAACAAGGAACATCCTAAAGTGACTAGGCGCATCAGAAAAATCCAGGAAAAAACAGCAAAGTCTTCCAGAAAAAGCACCGTATATCAAGGCCGTCATGAAAATATCGATTGGGGGGGGACACACCCCCCCCCAATATTCAAATATGCTCAAAATGCCCCCCCCCACCCAATATATTGCTATAAAATAGATTTCTGTTTATATGATTGTGGTTATGGTTGTACTTTATTAATCCCGAATCTCTGCCATTACATACAATGAGACAAGAAAAGGTCTAAAATAAAAAAAACAGAGCAATGTAATACAATACACTATTAGACATTATTGTAAAACATAAATAAAAAGTCCATCCTATGTGGAAGTGTTTTTTTTTTGTATTTTAGGCAGGAAATGGCAAAAGATTTGTTTTAAAATTTAGATTTTTTTCTGGGGTGGGGGGGACCCCCAGACCCCCTGGAAGATTTGGTCCCCCCCAATGTTGACTCCATGGCTATGGCCTTGCCGTATATCAACGCTGTGTGCAAACATCCCAGTGGGATGCAAGTCAAACAATAACAACCACAAGACAATTTAGATTAAAGTTATCAGTCTAACTCTGTACTACACCAAAAAAATATGGCTAAACCAAAACGTTTTCGAAATCACCAACATATAGCTATAAAAACCATGCAACGGTGATCATAGGAACTGTGATTCAAATTTAACAGTAAACGATAAAACGATAAAAGTGCCACGGACCATTGCACCGGTCACCGCCGTGAGGCCCTCGAATCAAAGAGTCGCCATGTCGCTCTCGTCGTCTCATTTGCAAAAGAAGAGGAAGAGTAAGAAGAGGCGTCCTCTGGTCTAGCAACGTTTGAGACGAGGCTCAAAAGAAAGCTGTTTCTGGTGTGGACCAATCAGTTTCCAATATAATGCCACATATATTATCAGTGTTTTTCGTTTGCATTCTGACCACAAGCATTGTGGTTAATGCAGACACGATTCCTCGTTTGTTTTTTTAACATCTTAACACTTGTTTTGTTGCCAGACATAAGGAGAAAACCCCTATTATTAAGCAGAAGACATTTGTATACAAATCGAAAATCCGCTTTTGACAACAACCAGTGTCAGTGATAATACTGGTCAACACACTTTTTCTGGCATAAGGTATTCCAACGGTTTAAATGTAATTTTGGGGTGCTGATTCCAAATCTGGCATCAGTTTTTTTTCTATCACATCAGGTTTTTTGAGATATCAAATATGGCATTTTCAATAAAAACTGCAGAAGAAAAATATTAAATAAATGTGGATATCTACATAAAATTATATTATAAAAACACTATCCTAAAAATACAGCACCATATTTTAACACTAAAGCAGTCACTGACTTGCAACAACTTGCAATCATAAGTGACAGAGTTAATTTCGGGTAAAATCAATGAAAATGGGGTATGCCGATAGCATAAAAATGAGATGTGATAGAGCAAATCTAAGATCAGATTTGGAATCAGCACCCTGAAATTAGTCTAAAACAGCTGCAAAAGTCCAGGCCAGAAAAAAATGTTTTTTTTGTTGACCACTGTAATCAGTACCTGGTCCCGGGGGTAATGTGGAATGTCCACCATGAGCTCGGGACCACCTGTGAAGGTGACCTTTGCGCGAACGACCAACGGGCGTCGAAGACGATCCGTCATTAATGATAAAACTCGCTCGTCACACGTCGGCCGATCGCTCTTCCAGAAACGATCGTGACCGTTCAGTCGCAGCAGCCGCTTGTGAGTGTGCAGTAGGTTGAACTTCTTTCGCGCCGTACATATCCAACCTGAGGTGCGGGGGCGTAAGGATAACAAATCGTAGGTACGGGGAAAGGACAACATAATGGTCTGGCTCCACCAGCAAAAGCATCGAATGGGATAGGATAGGGGATTGAAATGCCATTAGCAAAATATGATAATTGTTTTTTTACCCTTTAATCTGGCAACAAAACTGACACCTTTTTACAAGGAGTCATGTTTGCATTGACCACAATACCTGCAGTCGGAATGCAAACAAAAAACATAACTCTGGTCATGTATGCACTGTCCTTGAAATTGATTGGTCCACAACCGAGACAGCTTTCTTTAGAGCCTAGTCTCACATGGTGTTGGACCAGATGACGCCAAAAGGCGATTGAAATGGCGTTTACGCGTGAGTTTGGTGATTCAGGCAGGCTGGCTGGCTGATGAAAGTTGCAACGTCTGACGGACTGAGCTAGAAGGGGCGGTCGTGGGAAGCCCCTCGGGCACGCGAGAGGAGAGCTTCAGGCCGCGTTGGAGATCTCTCCCATACGGGAGGACCGCTGGTGTGGTGGTGTGTACACATCATCGTAGAAGAGGCGTGGACAACGGAGAACCTTTCTGCGACCTGACTCATGCGCGCAACGCGATGCCATCCTGAGCGACACGCTACCGCCACGCGCTTCTCCCGATGTCCTACGTTTCGCTCCGCGAGCTTCTTTATGAGCCAACTGTTGCAGTGGTCTTCTTGGTTCTTTCGGTAAAGTCACGTAGAAGGGAAATAATAAAATAATAACAATAAAACGTAATTATATACAATTCTCACGACGTTTCGGCCACAACGCAAGCAGCCGTCCTTGCGTTGTGGCCGAAACGTCGTGAGAATAGTGTTTTATTATGATAATTGGTTCTTTACCCTTCTATCTGGCAACAAAACTGACACCTTTTTGCAAGGAGTCTATGCAAACATGACTCCTTGCAAAAAGGTGTCAGTTTTGTTGCCAGATAGAAGGGTAAAGAACCAATTATCATATTTTTACTGGCAAATGAGGTCCCCATAGTGTGTTTTATTATGTTTTATTTTTATTATTTTATTATTTCCCTTCTACGTGACTTTACCGAAAGAACCAAGAAGATGAATCCCTGCAGTCACGAAAGCTTTAAATCGAAATTGTTGCAGTGGTGTTTGGTTTTTTTTGCCATTATTATTTTGTGCACGGACACCGCGCGAAATTTTGTATGCCTGAGCAAGCCAAGCAAAAGGGGCCCGCGGGATCGAAACGTCGGACGTCGTGCCGTCGACTCGGAGAGAGCCGCAGAGCAGCGGCGCAACCGCGTGGTCCACTTGCGGTGCTCTCCATGAGGGTGCCACGCCACTGACGACCCCGGCAATCAGTGACCCCCTCTCGCCACCGAGTGCCATCCGAGTGGAGGCGACGCACGTGGTCGCCACTCCGTGCTGCCACTTCACCGTCGAGGGCTCCTCCGTGGCCGCCTTGTTACCAAAAAAAACCCACAAATTGTTGTGTCCGCAGGGCGCGGCGGCGGAGGCGGTGGCACCGAATCATTAATTCCGCTCATTTACACCTCGCGACAATGAGACCCCTCGCTCGCTCGCTGGGCTCTCGTGTTCGCGTGCCCGCCGCCACCTCCGCCCTCCTCCTCCTGCTCCTCCTGTCGCCCTCCCGAGTGCGGCAAGGGCTTTGAGTGTGTGGGTGGGCCTGCGGGGATTAGGGGTTGCGATGGGGGGTAGGGTGACGGGGGGTTTGGTTAGCGGATAGCAGAGAGGGCGAGTGGGCGAGAGCGTTAATCCGCCCCACCTCCCCCTCCCGTGATCCCAGCGCCGTGTCACCGACGGGGGCTGAGAAAATAAGCGTGCGGTGCGAAATCTGTTTCTGGGTCAAGGAGGGCATTGGACTGCGGATCCGATTTAGCGCGGTCGGCTACGTACGGTGCCACAGAAGTTCAACATATTACGTGCCGTGGCGTGGCTGTCGAGAGCGCAGGCGGTGCGACTGCGCCTTGCGCCCATGGCCCATACGAACCGCGCTACTCCCCAGAGGACCGTCAGACTTGCATTGTGACCGTCAGACTTGCATGGAGACGCGTGGCCTCGCGTGTCACCCAGCGCCTCGTCACGGAAGCGATCGTCGCAGCGGCAGTGCGCGACGCGTGTGTTCTGGGGGTGGCCACCTGCTCAGCGAATGAGGTGGCTCGAGGAAGTACAGCAAGTAGGTTTCTGAGCCGACTAAGCGTTTCTACGTCAAGAGGAGAGAGAGAGAGAGAGAGAGAGAGGTGATAGAGACAGCGGGAGAGGTCGGGGAAGAGCAAAAAGAGCAGAGAGAGAAAGGAAGTCGATCGAGAGGATGGAACGAGAGGCGAGAGAGGCACGAGAGAGAGAGAGAGTAAAAGTAGAGAGCGGTGACAGCGATAGCATCCCAGGAGGAGGAGGAAGCCACATCCTCATCTCTAATCCCTCACGAGCTGACAGTCGGGGGATTGTCGCCCGGTGACAGATCAGTCCCCGTCGCGCGCGTCGCGCGATCAATGCCCGATTGATTCGAGCGGAATAATTCCCCCTTCGCACAAGCACGCACCATCACCCCCCACCCCCCCCAAAACAACCCGTCCCACGACCGCCCCCCCCCTCCTCCTCCTCCTCCCGCACCTCCTGAACTCGGCACCTCTCTACCCCGCCCATCATGCAAGGTGCTTCACAGTGCCGCGTCGTGCCGTCAAATATCGGGGGAAGGGTGCGGAGCGTAGACCCGGCCGGGTGTCATCACGCGCGTGTGAGTGGGTGACCCACGCAGAAAACAGTGGACCCACACAGAGAGACACACAGACTCACACAGAGACCCATAAAATCACGCAAAAAGACCCACACAGCGAGACCCATAGACCCACACAGAGACCAATAAACTCACACAGAGACCCATAGACCCACACAGAGAGGCCCACAGACTCACACAGAGACCAATAAACTCACACAGAGACCCATAGACCCACACAGAGAGACCCACAGACCCGCACAGAGACCCACAGATCCACACAGAGAAACCCATGGACTCGCACATAAACCAATAAACTCAGACAGAGATCCAAAGACCTTCACAGAAATAACCACATACCCACACAGAGACCCATAGACCCACACAGAGAGACCCACACAGAGAGACCCACAGACCCGCACAGAGACCTACAGATCCACACAGAGAGACCCATAGACTCACAGAAAAACCAATAAACTCAGACCGAGACCCATAGACCTTCACAGAAAGAACCACACAGAAACCCATAGACCCACACAGAGAAACCCACAAAGAGAGACCCATAGACTCACACAGAGACCCACAGACTCACGCAGAGGCCCACAGACACACAGCTCCCTCTCCATCCAATTCCTCATCACCCCCATCCGTTCTCTCCTCTATTCTCATGTCGCGTTCCTTTTTCCTTGTCCCACGCGTGACGTCCTTGACTCTACTCCCCTTCATCTTCTTGGTTCTTTCGGTACAGTCACGTAGAAGGGAAGTAATAAAATAATAAAAATAAAACATAATAAAATAATGCTCACGACGTGTCGGCCACAACGCAAGCAGCCGTCCTCAGGTTGCTTGCGTTGTGGCCGAAACGTCGTGAGAATTATTTTATTGTGTTTTATTTTTATTATTTTATTACTTCCCTTCTACGTGACTTTACCGAAAGAACCAAGAAGATAAATCCCTGCAGTCACGAAAGCTTTAAGTGGAAATCTACTCGCCTTCTCGTCGCCACACCACGGCGATAATGACAGTGGCTGAACTTCACGACAATAATGTTTGGTGGTGTTGCCAAACGACTGTCTGCTGCGGGTGGGAGGGGTTCTCAGGGCGAGATGTTAACTGCCTCGCCTGGTACACAGGAAGTCGTTGGTTCGATCCCGATCCTGACGCCTACCTGTATATTTGGAGTTTTCGTGTCTTTCTCCCCGTAGATTTTCTCCGGGTCCTCCGGTTTTTCCCTCCACGTTTCAGAATCAGCATCACGCGTTTCGAGTATTTGGCTGCTATAAATGTCCACGAAGATGATGAGTCGCTTCTTTGAGCTATCATTTGTGATCGTCAGGTCGTTTCTGAAAAAAAAGAAGCTACGTAACTCAGTTGTATAAATATATATAGCAAAACCAAAAATGTACGTAGCAATTTTTTTAAATATAGTTTAAAAAAAATATTGATTTGAAGCTTTCGTAACTGCAGGAACCCATACTATTTGGTTCTTTCGGTAAAGTCACGTGGGTATAAAATAAATAAAAATAAATCACGACGTTTCGGGCGCAACACTAGCCCATGGCCACTTCTTCTGCTGAGGCATAGTCTGCCTCAGCAGCAGACTATGCTTTCCCACCTGATGACGGACGCTTGTGTTGCGCCCGAAACGTCGTGATTTATTTTTATTTCATGTAAAATATATAGTAAAACAAGATGTAGCTAAAAAATAATTGTAATTTTTTTTTTAAGTAGTGATGTTTGTTAAACAAAAAAAATATATATTTAAAAAAATATATATATAAAAAGAGTACTTGTTTTGCTTCGTCAGATTGCGCTGTCGACTGCTCAAAGGGAGAGAGACGCGGCCCTGAAACGCTGCCACAAGCTGCAGAAAGAACTGCAGCAGCTCCACACCTACTCCAGGTGCAGCCGTCACACACGCGCGCCGCGCAACTCCGCACCATCCCACTCCCTGGGGGACTCCTTCTTCTTTGACTTTGTCTTCATCTGGCCGCTCGTGTTGACGTCGAGAGCAGGAGCGGTGATTTTAAATCGAGGTGGTTAATGCGCCAGATGAGTGCGTCAGGAGGAGTGGAGGGGCGACGATGCCTCCTTCTCTGTGGGTCTCTATGCGAGTGTCTGGTTCTTCATCGGAATATACAGATCTGTGTGTGTGTGTCTATAGGTCTCTATGCGAGTGTCTGGTTCTTCATCAAAATATACAGATCTCTGTGTGTATTTATGTGAGTGTCTGTTTCTTCAGCGGAATATACAGATTTGTGTGTGTGTGTGTGGGTCTCTATGTGAGTGTCTTGTTCTTCATCGGAATATACAGATCTGTGTGTGTGTCTATAGGTCTCTGTGTGAGTGTCTGGTACTTCATCGGAATATACAGATCGCTGTGTGTGTCTGTGGGTCTCTATGTGAGTGTCTGGTTCTTCATCGGAATATACAGATCTGTGTGTGTCTGTGGGTCTCTATGTGAGTCTATGGTTCTTCATCGGAATATACAGATCTGTGTGTGTCTATGGGTCTCTATGTGAGTGTCTGGTTCTTCACAGGAATATACAGATCTGTGTGTGTGTCTATGGGTCTCTATGTGAGTGTCTGGTTCTTCATCAGAATATACAGATCTGTGTGTGTGTCTATAGGTCTCTATGTGAGTGTCTGGTTCTTCATCAGAATATACAGATCTGTGTGTGTGTGTCTATGGGTCTCTATGTGAGTTTCTGGTTCTTCATCAGAATATACAGATCTGTGTGTGTCTATAGGTCTCTATGCGAGTGTCTGGTTCTTCATCAGAATATACAGATCTGTGTGTGTGTCTGCGGGTCTCTATGTGAGTCTATGGTCCTTCATCGGAATATACATATCTATGTGTGTGTCTGTGGGTCTCTATGTGAGTGTCTGGTTCTTCATCGGAATATACAGATCTCTGTGTGTGTCCGTGGGTCTCTGTGTGAGTGTCTGTATCTTCAGCGGAATATACAGATCTGGGTGTGTGTCTATGGGTCTCTATGTGAGTCTATGGTTCTCCATCGGAATATGCAGATCTGTGTGTGTGTGTGTGTGGGTCTCTATGTGAGTCTATGGTTCTTCGTCGGAATATACAGATCTGTGTGTGTGTCTGTGGGTCTCTCTGTGAGTGTCTGGTTCTTCATCAGAATATGCAGATCTGTGTGTGTGTCTATGGGTCTCTATATGAGTGTCTGGTTCTTTACAGGAATATACAGATCTGTGTGTGTGTCTATGGGTCTCTCTGTGAGTCTATGGTTCTTCGTCAGAATATACATATCTCTGTGTGTGTCTGTGGATCTCTATGTGAGTGTCTGGTTCTTCATCAGAATATACAGATCTTTGTGTGTGTGTCTATGGGTCTCTATATGAGTGTCTGGTTCTTCACAGGAATATACAGATCTGTGTGTGTGTCTGTGGGTCTCTATGTGAGTCTATGCTTCTTCACAGGAATATACAGATCTCTGTGTGTGTGTCTGCGGGTCTCTATGTGAGTCTTTGGTTCTTCATCGGAATATACAGATCTCCGTGTGTGTCTGTGGGTCTCTGTGTGAGTGTCTGGTTCTTTATCGGAATATACAGATCTCCCTGTGTGTCTGTGGGTCTCTATGTGAGTGTCTGGTTCTTCATCGGAATATACAGATCTCCGTGTGTGTCTGTGGGTCTTTATGTGAGTCTATGGTTCTTCATCGGAATATACAAATTTTTGCGTGTGTACGTGGGTCTCAGTGTGAATCTATAGATATTTGTGTGAGACTATGGGTCTCGATGTGAGTCTACGGATTTCAGTGAGTCTATGGATCTGTCTGATTCTTTATAAGGCTGATATTGATGGAGAGCAAGCGCTGTCATGTTTCGTCGGGGTGGTTAATGCGCTAGATGTGTGCGTCAGGGGTAGCGCAGTGGTGCGTCATCGCTGTGATAATGCCTCCCTCTTCTCCTCCCCCTCTGTATGGCGCACCGCCCGGGAGTTTTTAGTTTTCCATTTGTGCATCGTCATTTTCATCATCATCATCATCACCATCATCATCGTAATCATCATTGTTGTCATCATCATTGTCATCATCATCATCATTGTCATCATCATTATTGTCATCATCATTGTCATCATCATCATCATTGTCATCATCATTATTATCATCATCATTGTCATCATCATTATTGTTGTCATCATCATTGTCATCATCATCATCATTGTCATCATCATTATTGTCATCATCATTGTTGTCATCATCATTGTCATCATCATCATCATTGTCATCATCATTGTCATCATCATCATCATTGTCATCATCATCATCATCATTGTCATCATCATTATTGTCATCATCATTGTTGTCATCATCATTGTCATCATCATCATCATTGTCATCATCATTGTCATCATCATCATCATTGTCATCATCATCATCATTGTCATCATCATTGTCATCATCATCATCATCACTGTCATCACCATTGTTATCGTCGTTGTCATCATCGTCATCATCATTGTCAACATCATTGTCATCATCATTGTCATCATCATTGTCATCATCATTGTCATCATCATTGTCAACATCATTGTCATCATCATTGTCATCATCATTGTCAACATCATCGTCATCATCATCGTCATCATCATCGTCATCATCATTGTCATCATCATTGTCATCATCATTGTCATCATCATTGTCAACATCATCGTCATCATCATCGTCATCATCATCGTCATCATCATTGTCATCATCATTGTCATCATCATTGTCAACATCATTGTCATCATCATTGTCATCATCATTGTCAACATCATCGTCATCATCATCGTCATCATCATCGTCATCATCATCGTCATCATCATCGTCATCATCATTGTCATCATCATTGTCATCATCATTGTCATCATCATTGTCAACATCATCGTCATCATCATCGTCATCATCATCGTCATCATCATTGTCATCATCATTGTCATCATCATTGTCAACATCATTGTCATCATCATTGTCATCATCATTGTCAACATCATCGTCATCATCATTGTCATCATCATTGTCAACATCATTGTCATCATCATTGTCATCATCGTCGTCATCATCATCGTCATCATCATCGTCATCATCATCGTCATCATCATTGTCATCATCATTGTCAACATCATTGTCATCATCATTGTCATCATCATCGAGTATACGCATCTGCTGCTGCTGCTGCTGTTGCCATAGTTTGTGCATTCGATGCGGTTCAGGGGTTACTGCACCAGAAGCTTCGTGTACGATCGAAGCAAGGGCTCTCGTCACGTGTCTAGGATCTTTCACGGATCTTTCACGAGGGGTTTGCGACTTTTGGATGAGGAATTGGAGATAGCCGGATATGTAAAAAGGGCAGATATGTGAACATCTTTATTTAAAAAAACAACATTTACACGATGCACAACTCATGCACTAGGTTTGGGACGTTAACTGATCACGGCAGATATTTGACGCTCAGATATGCAAAATATAAATGCATTCATTCCCTGAATCATTCAATCAGCTCTGTGTAGAGTTGCGTGCGTGTGTAGACGTGGTCGCGCGTGTGTGTGTGTGTGAGGGAGCAGTGGTCCACACTGCCCCACGACCCGGACAACCCAGGTTCAGTGGCCATTTATATCAACCCCGGTTCTGGGCTACCCATAGGTCGACTCAGCCGAAATACGCGGCGCAGTGTGTAAACATCAGCGCAGGGGAGACAAAGGCGACCGGGTGTGGTTATCTGCCCCCCCCTCGCCTCCCGTCTTTCTCCCTACCCCAGTTCGCCAGATTAATTTTTGCGCTGCACTAACCACCGCACCACACCACCGCGTGTCACAGTCTCCGATCGTAACCGCTGCACAACGCCACGTTTCACAGTTTCCGTTTCGTTGACGTGCCCCCCCCCCCCCCCTCGTGCAGCGAAAATAAAAAAAATTCCGCGTCAAAAAGAATCGCCCCTTTAAACCTTTTAAGCCAATTTAAAGCCTCTCCGCAAGTCGTTTGCTCGGATACATTCTCGCGGCTCCGATTAATAAGCGCTAAGACGCGGGCACAGCTGCTGCTGCTACTGACTGCCACGTGCCCCCCCCCGCCCCCCACCTCTTGCACGTAGCGCAGATTGTATTTGCCCACAGATTTTCATCTTTACTCAAAAAAAAAGGGCACGAATTTTTTTTCCCCCCTTCTATTTTTTTTTCTTTCACACAAAGCCCCCCCCCCCCCGCCGCCGCCTCCCAAGTAATGGCTGTTTGCGTAGAAGTTTAAGCGGCCCCCGAGGATGGCAGATGCGTTTGCCTGAGCGCGCGCGGTCTAAGATTCTCGTGGTGTTGTTACCGGTATCTTTGCCGGACCATCTGCTGGGTTTGGCGTTTGTGCAGTGGGGGGGGGGGGGGGGGCTCTAGTCGTCTCGTCTCTGTGTGTGTGTTAGGTAGTGGGGGGGAGCGGTGGTGCAGCGGTTAGGGCAGCGATGGTGCAGCCAGGTCAGTAAAGAACCCGGCGCAAGCCGAGTTAGATTCTCGCTCACGGCCAACAACAGTGACGATCATTTGAAACGGTTCTGGGCCTCACCTGGGTAGACTCAGCCTCAAATGGGTACCCGGTGTGGTGTGCAAACATTACCACTGGGGAGACAAAGGCGGCCCCGCGTGGTGCTGGCCACCCACCCGCTGGTCTGCTATGCTGGCCTCCATAGTTTAGTTTTATATGTATATGCATAAAAGTTATTCGTTTATCTTGCCTATAATTTGCACTCCTATTGTATTTTTTTTATTACTTTTTGTTGCTGGACATCTGCGAAAAAAATTGCCTTATAACTCATCGGATTCCTCCAGCAGTTTAAATAAATATTCCGATTCTGCTTACGGCACTTGCCCCAATAGTCTGTTAAGACTATACTGGGGACCATTGTCTTTGTTCCGGTGGGAGAGGGTGGTTGGCTGTGTGGTTGGAGGGGGGGGGGCTCTATGAGCCGAACGATGATTACGGCAACCGCTGGGAGCTGTGCGCAGGGAGAGAGGAACGGGGGGGTGGTGGTTGGTCGGTGGTAATCTCGTAGCCAAACAACTTCGGGGGCTGTCAAACTCTGCGATCAGAACGCACTGCACAGAGGCCTGGTCCCTTTAGTTTTCCTCTCCCAAATGGCGAACAACCACGCAACAGAGGCATTTGTACCCCGAAAATACGTAAATGAACAATATAATGGGCAGGAGAGAGAGAGAGAGAAAAAAAACAGAGGGGGACGTTTAAGTTTGCACTATTTGAACCTTTTTTATTTAAAAAAAAACGTAATGAGGCCACCGTATGGAGTGTGCGTCCCCTGCAGATAACGCTCGTGGAAGCGAGGATGGGCCAAAGTCGCTCTTTAATTTCCAAATCTTCTTTTTCCTCTTTCACATGGAATTTTTGGGGAATTGCAACAGATTGTAAATTAAGATAAGACTAGGTTTTACACATTCTGGTCGTGGTGGTCGTGGTGGTGGTGGTCGTGGTGGTGGTGGTCGTGGTGGTGGTCGTGGTGGTGGTCGTGGTGGACTGGTGGTGGTGGTGGTCGTGGTGGACTGGTGATGGTTCATTGGGCTTTAGCGTGCGCGTCAAACCGTCGACTCGTCCCCATAAATCTTCCAATTTTTTTTCTCTCTCTACACCGCTCATAATACACTTCAAATTAGACGTTTAACTTGTGAGGACGTTTTTTGTCATCATTGTTCAAACTGGTCCGAGACGAACGTGGATGGATTTCCATTGTTTAACTTCGCCTGCTCCGTGTTGGAGGCTAAGTGAAAAGACAGAAGCGACGATGCTGTTTGTGTGGTCGATGTGAATTTTCTCGCCTGGTCTACAGGAGTTTGTGGGTTCGATCCCGACACCGACGCCTTCTGTATATTTGGAGTTTGAGGTGTCTCTCTCGCTCTCCCTGTGGTGGCGTGGATTTTTCGCTGGGTCCTCCGGATTTCCCCTCCACGTTTAGAATCAACGTCACGCGTTTAAGATTTATTTGGCTGCAAAAAATGTCCACGTTATGATAAGCCACTTGGCTGAGCTACCGTTTGTGGCCAGGTCGCATCTGAAAACGAGCTGTATTGCTCATCGGGGGCCTTATCTGATAAACAAATATAGTTTATGGTAATTAATTTTTTTACCCTTCTATCTGGCAACAAAACTGACACCTTTTTTACGAAGAGTCATGTTTGCATAGACCACAATACCTGCAGTCATAATGCAAAAAAAACATAACTCTGATAATGTATGCACTGTCCTTGAAGTTGATTGGTCCACACCCGAGACAGCTTTCCTTAGAGCCTAGTCTCACATGGGTTGGACCAGATGACGCCAAAAGGCGCAGAACTCAAAGACAATGTACCATCAGAGTATGAGAGCTCGGGGTAAGCATTTGAGGTTCCAATGGTGTAAATATAGTTTAATATAGTAAAAACGCATCGGCTCAAAGGCCTGGTTCCCAGTCAACTGACCACAACAACAAGAAGCCCACTTACGACTGAAGCCTCAACGACGTCACCGGGCTAGCTACCAGGTACGATGTCCACCTCGTCCGAAACCTAATTGGCGCTTATTCTTAGGTTTTTTCGGAAAAGTCACGTAGGTAAAAATGTAAAATGTAAATTAATAAAAGTTAGATAAAATAAAAATAAAATAAAAATCACGACGTTTCGGAGGCAACACAAGCTTCCGTGAAGACTGAAGCTTGTGTTGCCTCCGAAAAGTCGTGATTTTAATTTTATTTTAATTTTATTTAACTTTTATTAATTTTAATTTTCGATTTAAAGCTTTCGTGACTGCAGGGATTCATCTTCTTGGTTCTTTCATTCTACGTGACTTTACCGAAAGAACCAAGAAGTTTAATTGTATTTTTTTACCTACGTGACTTTACCGAAAAAAACCTAAGAATATGAATCCTTGCAGTCACGAAAGCTTCAAATCGAGAACTAATTGTCGCTGTCTCGCTCGCACCAGCAGCTTCTGCAGCTCCGCTTCCCAGGGTCACGCTCGGAGCGCCCAGGGGGTCGAAGGGACCGCCGCGAACGAGGCAGCAGCGCCGCCTGACCCCTCCAGCGAGGCCTGGCGTAGGAGCCACAGTCTGTCCTCTCGTCTGGAGCAGGCCCTCTCCGAACGCATGGGGCTAGAGGCTCGGCTCAGGCGAGCGCTGAGTCTCAAAGCCGAGAGCGCTGCCCATGCCGACAGGTGACGCGTCCGAGTCGTTGGCGTGCACGAGTTGAAGTCATCGCTTCGTCTCCACGGTGGCCGTGGATCTCGAGAGAGAGAGTGCGCGGCCCCCCGCTTTGGCTGCCACTTGCACCGTTCGTCTTGACCAGCAACGTTCATCACCCCTCGTAACGACGACGATGGTGTAAATTACCCATGCCCACTCACCCTGAAGTTGCCGTCTTGTGTATACATTCAGCGACCAAAAACCGACGTCAAGTGAATGATTATGAAGCTATCTTAACAACACAACGACAAATGTACTAAAAAAACACAGCTTTTTGCGCAAAAACAAATCAGGGAACTGCTGATGGTGTTTGCATAATGCACAAAAGGCCGAGTCCATTTTGTGCACGTTTCTAACTGATGTTGTTGTTGTTGTCTCTAACTTGCGTTTTCTCTCATGTGCTCCTCTTACTGCCGGCACTTCCCAATGCCAAATTCCACGCGTGCATTTCCAAACTTTGCGAACGCCTCCAACTTTTGTTCCACACTCGTCGACGTTCACGTTTCCGATGCCCTACACGCCATACGCCTGGCAACCCTGCACCGATTGGAAACTTATTCTTAGGTTTTTTCGGTAAAGTCACGTAGGTAAAAACATTAAAATTAATAAAAGTAAAATAAAATAAAAATCACGACGTTTCGGAGGCAACACAAGCTTCCGTCTTCAGGTGGAACCGTCACAGCCACGATAGCTGTATCAAGTTAAAGAGCGATTACAGGAGCAACCACTCCGTTTATATAATGGTTGGCTGTGACGGTTCCACCTGAAGATGGAAGCTTGTGTTGCCTCCGAAACGTCGTGATTTTTTTTATTTTACTTTTATTAATTTTAATGTTTTTACCTACGTGACTTTACCGAAAAAAACCTAAGAATATGAATCCTTGCAGTCACGAAAGCTTCAAATCTAGAACGATTGGAAACTTTCCCCTTGGAGCATCACGGTTGTTTGCAAAAGGAAGCCGAGCACATGACACTTCACGACATCAGTTTCAGGTTATTTTTAATAACCCTGTGAGCCAAGAGGCTCTTAAATTGGGTTTCATCAACGCTTATAAAAAAATAAAAATAGCTAGCAAATCGTAATCGTAATATAATTTTTTAAAGAAAATGTTATTTATATATAGATTATTATCAAAATGCACGCTGTATCTAAAAAATACTCATTTAAATCTCGATTTAAAGCTTTCGTGACTGCACGGATTCATCTTCTTGGTTCTTTCGGTAAAGTCACGTAGAAGGGAAATAATAAAATAATACAAATAAAATATTTTATTATGTTTTATTTTTATTATTGTATTACTTCCCTTCTACGTGACTTTACCGAAAGAACCAAGAAGATAATTTAAATCTGCCATAGACAATTATAAAGCAGATGCAACCTCAAACACGATGGCATTGGACGACTCGTCATTATTAAAACACAACGTGAGGTTAAGCCCCGATCGGCTGAGCAGCACCACGTCTGGCAAATAGAATCGAAGGGCTGGATCGAGAAACGGCTGCCAGCCGAATTGGCCGCGGATTTCGAATTGGTACAAAAAAAGGCAGCGGGATGTGAAGGCGGGGTGGGATTGGGCAACGGGCAGAGGTTAAAAGGGCCGATAATTGGGGCGGGGGGGAGGGTGTAAGCTTCTGGTAGTCGTTAGTTGGAGTCAGTGGCGTAGTAAATACATTATCAGCTTAGGGGGTACCGGCAATCGGTCAGGTGGGCCCCCCCCCAATATTTGATTTGTCTCGCACAGTCTAGGCTGTTATCTAAAGCAGTCCTTAATTCTAGATTTGAAGCTTTTGTGACTGCAAGGATTCAAATTCTTGGGGTTTTTCGGTAAAGTCAGGTAGGTAAAAAATTAAAATTAATAAAAGTAAAATAAAATAAAATAAAAATCACGACGTTTCGGAGGCAACACAAGCCTCCGTCTTCAGGTGGAACCGTCACAGCACGCTCGCTGATACAGCGAGACGGAGGCTTGTGTTGCCTCCGAAACGTCGTGATTTTTATTTTATTTTTATTTTACTTTTATTTATTTTTATTTTTTACCTACGTGACTTTACCGATAAAACCCAAGAATATAAAGCAGTCCTCTCGATTAACAGTGACATCGATGGACGGTTTTTCGGTTAACGTCTCCCCTCCCATGCGACTGACGTTAGCATTTTGACGATCGCCACGTTGACGTGTCGCACGCGGTCGCCGATTTCGGCCAATCCGCGCGCTCTCGCGTGCGGCTGGGCCATGCCCTCGGCCAATCAGCGACGCCCATTTAAGAGCGTTTTATACTTAGAGCGGCCATTTTAACACGTCGGTTGTTGCGACCACAGTCATCCATAATAGCGGGTTTTTGGGTTTACGCGATCTAACCCCAAAAAAAAATCTGCATTATCGTGGAAGTGGCAACGGCTGTCTTGCAAACTCAGTGATTTTTTACTTATTTTTCAACTAATAAGTGATTTCGATTAACAATTATTTCGGCCAAAAGCAGTTCCCGCGTAACAGATTAAAAACGTTCGCCGAGGGACAACGTGCATTGCGGCTCCTCTCGCTGAAACACGTAAATTGAATAACTTTTTGTTCTTTAACACCGTTGTTGAAAACCTATATCTTGTTTGGCTGTCAAAGGGAGCCCTGCAACTCGTAACTTTGCCCCCCCCCCCCCCCCCCACGCTGTCAGCCATGTGACCGCTCACGATCTCGCGTGTTTTGTGCCTATTGCTGCGTCGTCAATAAACAGACAGCCGTTTTAAAACAGCAACCCCAGCCGCGTGTGCCGCTCTCTCTTCTCTCTCTTTTTTTTACGATCAGTGGAAACAAGAAGATGCTCGGTGTAGTCGGCACTTTGCTTCGTTCATCATTTCGTAACATTTATTTTTTATTTTTTTACTTTGCTTTATGTAAACCCCCACCTCTCGCTCACTCTCTCGCTCACTCTCTCGGTCACTCTCTCGCTCACTCTCTCGTTCTCTCTCGTTCTGCACGCAGCCCTTCTCGCAGTCCGACGGCCTCCGCTCTCTTCACCCTGAGGCGGTAACATCGTCCGGCGGTAGCGGGGGTGGCATTTTGGGGCCGTCCATAAATGACGTCACGCACCTAGGGGGGTGGGGTCAGACATTTGTGACGAAGTCTGACGAGGGGGGGGGGGGGTTTGAGAAATGTGACATCACATCAAAATGCGCAGCTTTAAATAAGTCTTGCCGACACGTTCTACTTAATTAAATAGACTTTTTAATAAATGTATTCTCCTACAACATCAGAGTGCAGCGCCACATTAAATACGCACTACAATGACAATAGTCTAAAGCGATTTGAAGCATCTTATTGGTTCTTTCGGTAAAGTCACATAGAAGGGAAATAATAAAATAATAAAAATAAAACATAATAAAATACAATTCTCACGAAATTTCGGCCACAACGCAAGCATCCGTCCTCAGGTGAAGAACAGGTCTGTCGGAAAGACAGCGTCTGAATGAGTTAAAGAACAAAAAAATCTTTCCGACAGACCTGTTCTTCATCTGAGGACGGCTGCTTGCGTTGTGGCCGAAACGTCGTGAGAATTGCATTTGATTATGTTTTATTTTTATTATTTTATTATTTCCCTTCTACGTGACTTTACCGAAAGAACCAAAAAGATGAATCCCTGCAGTCACGAAAGCTTTAAATCGAGATTTGAAGCATGTTTTATTTGGGGGGGGGGCAGAGCTTTGTGACGTCATATTTGAGAGGGGGTCTGACTTTTTGTGACGCCGTGTGACGAAGGGGGACGGGGGGTAAAAAAAAAAAATCCCAAATCGCGTGACGTAATTTATGGACGGCCCCTTTGAGCACTCCGCTGCCACCACCACCGCTGTTGGCCGAGGTGACGAGAGCCGGCGATGCTGTCGTGGGGGACGGGGTGGGGGCGACCGCTTCAGCCGCCCCCCTGACAGCCCACGGCTTTCTCGGGGTGACGTACTGCGGCCCTAACCTGGCTGGAGGCGAGACTCAAAGTGGGACCAGAGCAGTGGTTCTCAACCGGGGGGCGGGTGGGCTAAGCAGACCCCCTGGGGGTAGCGTGGCAAAGTCGCAGGGGGGGTTTGGGGGGGAGGGGGGACCGTGAGTTGATTTATAAATGTGTGGAATCGTGTCAAGCGTGTGAGTCGTTGGTGGGTAATCGCGCGTGCATCTGCCACAATAAAATAACTACGGTGACATTTGAATCCGCGTAGTATGGAGGTACGTAAATACTTTCCTAATCTCATCGAGGGTAAACAAGGCGGATTTCCAAGAGTAACCAGCCAGCACGAATAGATTACGTCACGCGTGGAGAGCGCCCGTTGAATTTGTTTTTAAACGCTTTTATTTAACTCACTCTGTCTGTTGTTGTTGTTGTCGTATCCTCAAATTTTGTAACTTTATTTTAACCAACTTCCCAATGTGGTATCGACTGCAAACTTCGTATACTTATGTCATACTGATGACAATACTATATTCTATCATTAATATATATATATTTTTAAACCATTTTTTATATGTTATGTTTCGCCTTGGGTCTAATTGTCCACGCTCAACTCACGTGGGCTGTAATTGGCCACGGTCCCATACGTTATAATGGAGTCGTGGAGTTCTGCCATTACTCGTACGGTACATTTCATTAGAGCGTGTTTTAAAAAAAAGTATTTTAAAATATTACTTATAATTCGATGGCACAGTTACTAGCCAGCCAGGATACCTCATCAAAATTGTACAATTGGTTAAAATGTTAACCTTCATCATTCATACATTTTCGTCTCAGAACCATCTTGGGGTCAGGCAAGGGGGTGAGCGGGGAGGGAGGAGGGCGGGCGGGGGGGGAGGTTCTCGGTTTGAAACAATATTCAACAAAGATGGTACAGGACCCAAAAGAGGGCTGGGAAACCAGTGGCAATGAAGGAGACACCGACCCATCTCTCCTGCAGGGGAGCGGGAACGCAACAGCCACCTCCACAGCCTAGCAGCAAACTCCGGGCCACCACCATCAGCAGCAGTGGGCCGACCCTAAGACCGCGCCAGGGAGCCGGTTGACGAATTCTCGATTCGACGGTTCGAGGCCACCGCCAAAATCTTGCCGGGTCCCGATGTGCCCCCCCCGTCCCCACCCCCCGTCCACCAGTTCTGATTGAGCGTCGGACTCCTCCAATGGAAACAAATATTCTGATCGACCGACGACACTTCAGGCCACCGCTCCTTCCCATCGCTCGCCGTGTCACCGCGCCTCGCCGCCCTCGTCGTACACCGATCGCCAGTCCATGGCCCCGTGGCACGCGGGAGGCACGTGGCACGCGGGAGCCACGTGGCACGCGCTAGCCACGTGGCACGCGGGAGCCACGTGGCACGCGGGAGCCACGCGATGTGGTGAGCCACGCCGCAACTGGGACGTGGATGTCAACTTCCTCACCATTTTTTCGCTGCCATTGCATCGCGCCCGCTGAGTGTAAACTATAATTTATCAAACTGCCGACGTTTTTTTTTGTATCTTACCAGGTAGGGCCCACTGAGCTATACGTCGTTCTTTTATTCACAAGTGACCTGGCCGCGAACGATAGCTCAACGGAGAGGCCGTATCCTGTGCAAATGTA